ATATATAATTTTTTGTCAGCAGTCAGTTCTCTTAACCTCTGAGCCATCTCTCCAGCCCTCTACTCTCATATATATGGCTTAATTTTTTTTCTTTGTGGACCTGGGGTTAGAACACAGGGGCCAGTGCATGCTCAGGAAGAGCTCTACTATACCCTTCTATAGACTCCTTCTTACAGTTAGTTTTTATGAGAAAAGGTTGTTATAAAAAGACTGTGTGGGCTGGAGAGATGGCTCAGCGGTTAAGAGCATTGCCTGCTCTTCCAAAGGTCCTGAGTTCAATTCCCAGCAACCACATGGTGGCTCACAACCATCTGTAATGGGGTCTGGTTCCCTCTTCTGGCCTGCAGGCATACACACAGACTGAATATTGTATACATTAAAAAAAAAAAAAAAGACTGTGCTTGGCCCCCCAAATCTCGTTTTCTGTCTTTCCGTGAGATCTTATAGCCACGTACTCTTGTCATTATAATGGTGTGGTCTCCTGATCTGGGACTTCAGTTTCTAAACCCAAGCTAAATAAACTTCCTTACAAAGGACCTAGGCTCAGGTATTTTATTATAGTGTAGAATAGATCAAGATGTCTTCTTCTCAAGTAGGTCCTAGAGTTAGAAATTTGGTAATAATTTGTACATTTTCAGAGCTGTGTATGATGGTGTACACTTGTAATTCCACCACTCTGGAAGCAGAGGCATGAAGATCAGCCACAAGTCTGAGGCTAGCCTGATCTATACCGTGGGTTTCAGGGCAGTTAAGGGGAAGTTAATGAGATCATATCTCAAACAAACATATGCACATTTTTTTTCCTGCTGACTTCTGCCAGTTTTTCTAGGATTTTAATCTGTGGGTCCCAGAGTAAATGCACATTCCAGAATCTCCTGGCTGGTTCGCCAAATAGGAGAGAAAAAGATTTTTTAGTCTTCTGTGGTTTAAATGATAAACATATATAATTACATAGGACTGTATATATGAAAGAATATAGTTTCTGGCATTGAATACTTGATTCCTGGTTGATGGAGCTGTTTGGGAAGGATTGAGGTATGGCCTCGCTTGAGGAAGTATGTCACCAGAGATAGGCTTTGAGAGCTTAAGGCCTCAATGTACTCCCAGTTGCTCTCGGATACCTGCGTGGTTCAGGTGTGAGTTTCAGCATCCTACCCCGGGCCTTCTGTTTGCTGCCAGCTTCCCTACTGTAATAAAACTGGAATCAAAAGTCAAATAGACCCTTCCTTCTGTAAACTGCTTTAGTCATGGTGTTTTATCACAACACTAGGAAGGAACTAATCTAATTTCATACATTTCAAAAAAATTTTTTTTATTATGTATTAGTGTTCTGGGCACCAGATCTCATTATAGATTATGGTGTGCATGTCTGTAGGCCAGAAGAGGGCACCAGACCTCATTACAGATGGTTGTGAGCCACCATGTGGTTGCTGGGAATTGAACTCAGGACCTCCAGAACAGCAGTCAGTTAGTTCTCTTAACTTCTGAGCCATCTCTCCAGCCCTCTACTCTCATAAATTTATACTTTGGAATATATCTGTAAGAAATAGCAAACTGAACGGGTATGGTGGCTCACACCTATAGTTCCAGCATTTGGAAGTTGAGGTGGGAGGATCACCATGTGCTTGAGTCCGAGCACATCTCATGGAGTGGGCCTTACATCCAATAAGATCCTGGCTGGTTACTCCCACAAGCTTTGTGCCACTGTGGTACTAGAAGAGCTAGTCCACTTTGAACCTCACCTTAGGTAATTTGGGAGTAACCAGCATCAAAGTCTGTGCAGTTTTGATGTCCCAGGATAGTCCTCTAGTCTTCTGCTTAGGAGATAGAAGCAGCTCACTTCCAGTCATATATAAAACAATTCTACTAGAGCCCGGAGGGGCAACACTTGAGCCTGCTCTAAGAAGAGACAGTGGGGGAACTGATGGCTCCACAGACACTCATTCAACCTTTCCATCATGACTTTCAGTTGTAGACACGCAGAATCCACTGACATGATTTGGCTACCACTTGATTTCCAAGTCAACAGTTATTCAACAAAAGGGTAGTTCAATCTACTTTAAAAAAAAAGATTTATTTATTTATTATGTATACAACATTCTGCTTCCATGTATGCCTGCATACCATGTGGTTACTGGGAATTGAACTCAGGACCTCTGGAAGAGCAGTCAGTGCTCTTAATCTTTGAGCCATCTCTCCAGCCCCAATCTACTTTTGTTGTATTAAAAAAAATTTTTTTTTCTTAAGACAGGCTTTCTCTGGGTAACTGCCACGACTGTCCTGGAACTCACTTTGTAGACCAGGCTGGCCTTGAACTCAGAGATCCACCTGCCTCTGCCTTCTGAGAGCTGGGATTATAGGCAGGCACCACCACCACCCAGTTCAACCTATTTTTCAATGCTTTTAGTAATAAAGAACTCACAGTTCAGATTGTCCTAATTTTTGTCAACCAGCGTGTAGTAGAGTCTTTAGAATAAATAAAAACATAAAATTAAAAGAAGTCTGAGCTACAGAGTGGGGCCCTGTCTCAGAAAAAAAAAAGCAGAGCTGGAAACATGGTTCAGAAATTGAGCATGCTTTCTGCTCTTCCAAGAGACCCAATTTTCGGTCCCATCCTCTAACTCCAGTGGCTCTCTTCTGGATTCTAAGGGTTCTTGCACTCATGTAAACATACTGCCCTTCCCTCACATAAAAACCTACAGCAGGCACATTTTAAAGATAAAATGTTAGAGCATTCCCTTTAAGCAATATGACATCAGTGCTTGAATGGCTGTAGTTGTCAATTCTTTCATAATTGCACTGGAGGTCACAGTAAGCACAGAAACCAAGTAAAATCTACAGTCATTTAAAATGAATAATGTAGCATGGTTCTTAATGTTAGATCAACAGATTATATATATGCTTTTGATGGCATATGTATATATATAATTTTAAAACACTTTATAATAGGGCTGGAGAGATGGCTCAGTGGTTAAGAGCATTGACTGTTCTTCCAGAGGACCTGAGTTCAATTCCCAGCAACCACATGGTGGCTCACAGCCATCTGTAATGAGATCTGGCGCATTCTTCTGGCCTGCAGGCATACATGGAGGAAGAATGTTCTATACATAATAAATAAATAAATAAATAAAATCTTTAAAAAATACTTTATAATAGCAGCAGAATTATGAGGTGAGAAAAATAAATCTAATAAAAGATGAGACTATTAATGTGAAAAATATTATATAACTTTATTGAAATACATTTAAAGACATAAGTGGAGATGTTCCTTTATGGATAGGAAGGCTTTATCATAAAAAGCCTGCTTTTCCTAGCCAAATCCATAAACTAAACGTAACTCCAATAAAAATATAGACTTTTTCCTGGCAACTGACAGTGTGAATAAACAAAGCAGAGAAGTACAAATTAAGAAAAGATGGAGTAATTTTGATAAACAAGAAGAGTGGGAAGAACTGATCCTCAGGGTATTAAAGCTTTTTAAAGACCTGTGGTACTAACACAGGGTCTACTTGAAAGAGACCAGAGAACCAGCAACAGACACGGACACGCGACAGCATGCAACAGCAGTGGCTGGGTCTGGTGGTGCACACCTTTAATCCCAGCACTGCGCTGGAGACCAGAGGCAGACAGATCTCTGAGTCTGAGGCCAGCCGGGGATACACAGTGGGATCCTACCTCAAATAAACAGAAAACAACAAACAGCTATCAGTGGAGATAGGATGTAACTGATAGAAAAGAATTGGATTTCTGACTTGAAAACCAAGAGCAAACCATGCATGATAGCTTATAATGTGTGAAATCCCAGGGCTTGGGAGGCTGAGCTTGGAAGATCTCAAGTTTGTGGTCGATCTAGGCGACAGATCCTGTTTCCAAAAACCAAAAGAAAACAAGTAACAGACAAACAAAAACAACCCCAAGTGGAGGAAAGATCTAAATATTAATAGAAATACTTTGGAAGAAGATATAACCAGCTTTTTTTTTTTTTTTAAGATTGACTGTAGAAGGTAGGAATTACACAGGACTTTGTAAGACACAAAAGCGCTGGCTACAACGTCATAGACAGTATTTTATATTAAGATGAAAATAGAACTTTATCGTGCTCAAAAAAAAAAACCCTCATGATTTAGAGGAACGTAACTAAATGTTTAGGGAGAAAGGACCTAGACTTTGTTTTAAAGAGACTTTAGAACAGTGGTTCTCAACCTTCCTAATGTTGTAACCCTTTAATACAGTTTCGCATGTTGTGGCGACTCCCAAACATAAAAATTATTTTTGTTGCTACTACATAGCTGTAATTTTGCTCCTGTTATGAATCATAAATATTTGACAAGTGGAGCATCTGACACGTGACCTCTGTGAAAGGAATGCTCGACCGCAGACTGAGAACTGCTGACCCAGAACAAGAGGAAGCTCATGAGTGACATATCATAACATCAACGTACCTCACAAACACGTCAAACAACGGAAACACACATTGTGATGCACTGTGTATAAAAGATAAAGTCATAAAAATAAATAACATTTTGCTGGGATGCATCTATCTATAGAAACCTCATACCGAAAAGCTCACAGTAAGTTCAAAATTAATTCAAAATAGTGGTTATTTCTGTTAGGAGACATTAGGGGCCTGGAACTCAGAACACAACAGAAACAAGCATGTTGGGAATAAGGTTTGTTTACTGTATTTTTTATATTAAAGTGGTAGGTGCATGAGTATGCTGTAGCATCCTTTAGATATTTTGTATGTAACAAAAAATCATAATTTAAAAATAGTTTGTTTTCTATAAAGGGACATGGCAAAAGGAAGAGAAGAGGCTAAGGGTATACACCAGGGGAGACAGTGACGGCTGACCATGTTTCTGTTCTCATTGAGAAGATAGGGATGCCTTGCCTCTCCCTGGGAACACACCCTGTGCTAGATTGAGAACATTGATTCCTTTCAGTTCATCATAAAGACAGGTGCTATGAAGCATGGGCTCTAGCAGATGTCGGAGGAGGTCCTATGTGTTAAAGGATCCAGGTGAAGAAGCTGAGTCCTGCACACTGCTTTTCCTTCTCCCTACTTGCTCATGCGTTCAGAATGGTTTCCAGGTTTGTTTGGTTTTTTCATTTTGATGGTGCCAGTGGTCGAAGCCAAGCCCTCATACATGCTAAGCAAGTGTTCTACCACCAACTCCACCTATAACCCTAGATTTGCATTTCTAACTTTTTAGAAAAAGATTTCTTTATGAGTATGATTGTTTTGCCTGCAGGAGCGTATGTGTTCCATATGTGTGTCTGGTGCCTAAGGAGGTCCTGGTCAGAGAAGGCATTAGATCCCCTGGAAGCAGAGTTATAAATAAGCATGTGAGCCTTATTTATAACTACCATGTGGATACTTGGAATTGAACCCGGATCCTCTGCAAAGACAACAAGAGTTATTAGCCACTGAGCCACCTCTCCAGCCCCTAGGCTTGCTTTTGTTGTTATTGTTGTTGTTTGAGAGAGGGTTTCCTACAGCTCTGACTGCCCCGGAACTTGCTTTGTAGATCAGGCTGACCTTGAATTCACAGAGATCTGCCTGTTTCTGCCTCCTAAAGGCCTGTGCCATCACCGCCTGGCAAGGTTTGTATTTCAAACCTTTTTTTGTTGTTCAGTAAGTGGTATTCAGTGTGGGGCTGGACGTGCCTTTCCTCCAGCTCTGTAAAGTGAGTTAATGTCTCTAGGAAAGAGCTACAGTAGTGTGCGTGTGAAGGACCCGATACCTGCCATCTCTCCCTGGTTTCCCAGGCAATTGAGAAAGAGCATTGACTTCTAGTTCATCAGTCAGGCTCACCCCTCAGGGAGGAGTGGTACCTATTGACTCCGGAGAAGAAAAGCGCTGTGTGTCAGCTTCCTGTTCAGTTAAGCAGCAGACTAGACACTGCTGCCCCTCCTGACGTCACAATCTCTTGACAACTCCAATTTCTGACTTCCTCGTTGCCTTCCTGGGAGAGTCCCTGGCTCCTTCTGCCCTTCTTGGGGAATCCCCATCTTCCTCCTGGTTTCCTTGGTGGTGGTGGGGAGCATCCTCCCGGCCTTCTTGTGGAGCCCCCAGTAATGGAAGCGGTGGCAAATCCCTGTGCCAGGTCCACAGTGCAGCTGGAGCTGGCGTCTGAGGCCATAGCTACTGGAATCCAGCACCTGGAGTGAGCTATCTCCAACTTTTCTCATGAAAACTCAAGTGTCAACTTAGTGTTTCCAGATCTGAAAGAGACCAAAGAGAATCACAGGGCTTATCACTCTTCCCAGACCCAGCATCTGTCGTTTCTCCCCATCAGGCCCTCCCCTGATACAGGCTGCAGTTGGTTTCTATCACCTTTTTTTTCTTTACCATTTTGCAGTGCTAAACTGATGTCACTCCTTGCATCTGCCCAGCTCCTGGAACACGCCTCTAATCCAGTTTCAGAGAGAAACCTGTTATGATCACTAATACTACCTGCTAATTGACGACTCAGTTTGTGCTAGACCCTGCCTGTTATAAACACTTGACATGTACTCATTCTACACTAATGGAGTCCTGATGAAGAAGGAGAAATTCAAGGTTCAGCGGGGCTAAGTGACATGCCCAAGTAACCCAAATGCTAATGGGTGAAGGAGCCAGGGTACAAACTCAGTCTTCTCCGGAAGCTTTCAATTACTGGAGCTACAGAGACTGCGTCCTCAAGTCCTTAGACAGACACTGGCTGACACTTTACCCCCTCCAGGCCCGCCTGTATCTTACAGCGTATGACAGCCTCCTTGACTTGGTAAAAGCCACCATCCTGGCCTCTGCCGTCCACATAGTACATGAATCGGAGTTCCGGCGGGTAGGCGGCTCTGGACAGACCCGATAGCAGGGGTATGGTGCAACCCTCCGCCCCCGGGGCCTCCGTCAGGGCCTGCAGCATCTGGTACTTGCACCAGGGGTCCCGGAGGAAGCCTGGCGTGATGAGAAGCACACGGCAGTGACTACTACTCAGGGCCTGGCATAGTTCAGAAACAATGGCGCCGCCTGGTGTTGCATCCCGAAGCTGCAGGAAGCAGCGTAGGCTGGCCCTGCTACCCTCCAAGTAGGAGACCAGCTCCTGGGCGGTCTCTAGGTCCTCCTCACTGTGGCACACGCAGACGTCATAGTCTTTGCTCCAGCGGCCACTGCTGCAGCTGGTGTCCATGTGTGTTGGTTGCAGGGTAGGAGCCATTCCTGAGCTGCGGTTGGAGGGTGAGTTGTGGCTTGGGGGTGAGCTGCGGTTGGAGGGTGAGTTGTGGCTCAGGGGTGGGAGACCGTCCTGTGTGGCTTTCTGTGAACCATCACTTGGGTGGCTTTCCGGGGGTGCTGGCATCTTCTTAGGCTTCTTCAACAAAGCCTGCCTAAACCAGTCTATAGGGGGAAAACACAGAGCTGAGACTTGCTGCCTGCAGGTTGAAGCCCCACCCCCAAGGAAAATGGCAGGACTCTGCCAGTTTCACCTTACCCACTGTCCTACTGCCTACTGCCTTGCTATTAGGCATACCCCTGAGGTCTTGCCTAAGAGTTCCTGCTATCTTTAAAGGTTCCCCAATACTTAGAGAACTCGAATCCTGGCCAGGCGGTGGTGGTGAATGCCTTTAATCCCAGCATTTGGGAGGCGGAGGCAGGCAGATCTCTGTGAATTCGAGGCCAGCCTGGTCTACAGAGCTAGTTCCAGGACAGAGAAACCCTGTCTCAGAGAGGGGATAAAAGAAAGAAAAGAAAAGAAGAAAAAATAGGGCGGCTTTAATGGAGTCACCGTGGTGAGGGAGTGTTTGTTATAATCTAGCTACCCAAGAGTCTGAGACAGTGAGGGGTAATTCAAGGCCAGACTGGAAAAAAAAAACCAATAAGATCGCCATAGAAATAAAGTAAAATTTGCTGTGTATGATAGCGCAAGCCTTTAATCCCAGCACCTGAGAGGCAGAGGCCAGTGGATCTCTGAGTTCAAGGTCAGCCTGGTCTACAGAGAGTTCCAGGCCAGCCAGAGCTGCATAACGAGACCCTCTCTGAAACATAAAATAAAATTTTAAATTAGAATAAAACAATTTATTTGATTAAATTAATAATTTAATTATAAAAAGAAATATAGATGACCTTGTTCTGTTGTAGATCATCTGCTATCTGCCACCTTAATCAGAAGGCTATAAACCAGAGTAGTCAACTGCCTGTGTGAGGGGACATCTTCAGACTGGGACTAATCAGGCCCAAGGCCTAAGTGCAGCCCTAAGAGGAGGGGAACTGATCAAGGGCCAAGGAAAATGGGTACAGTGATATATGCCTGTAATTCTAGAATTTGGGACATAGAAACAGAAGACTGGAAGCTTAGGGTCAACCTCAACTACAGTGGTAAGTTCAAGGCAGCCTTGTTAATACAAATGACTAACTAAGTAAGAAGGAACAGGGCCAAGGGGCTGGAATCTGTTGTGTTGTTCAGAGGCCGAGGGCTGCTAGTCCGAGCTCCCGGGGAACACAGAAGCCACACTTGCCCGCCCCAGATCTGACTGCAGACCTGTCATGCCGCTTGCTCGGTGACCTTAAACAAACTGGCCTAGGTCTCCATTTCCTCATGTATCAAATGAGTTTGTTAGTTCTTGATGGTAAATTGTAAGTACTCCATAATGTTAAAACTAGGCTGCACTGGGGATTGTTACATTTTTTTTTTTTCTTTCCTTGTTTCCTTTCTCTGAATAGTTCTGGTAAAGAATTCAGATGTCAGGATACACCACCTCAAGCCTTCGGAACAATGGTTGTCAGGCCCATAGGCTGGAAAACATCTGAATCAAAGGCCTGCAGAACCCATCATGCATCCCTGATTCCTCCCTCTCCTCGCAGCTTTGGGTCATCTCACCAGCAGCTCTGTTCCCCATCCCTGACTTTCTGCATCTCTCCTCTGCATTTGGAAGAGTCCCTCTTCTCACCTCTCCAGCAGACTGGGAATTACCCTCTCAGGGACCAGAGTGTAACTAGGAGACAGGCTCCACTCACCAGCTATTTTGTCTCGAGGCTTCTTGGACTTAGTGGAAGAGGCTGGGACGGAGGAGGGCGAAGCCATAGTGCAGGCCTCCAAACTAACCCTGGGAGAGCAGGCATTGGGGGTGTGGCAGGATGGGAGAGAGCCATGGAGCAGCCATCCTGCAAAGGACAACAAAAGTTGTACTTACCTACCTGGAAGTTCTGCTTTTCTCCTAGTCCCTAAGGACTCAGTCTCTCACCAGGTCCATGGGACCAGGGAAATGACCCAGATCTGTGAAGCGTGACCAGACTTACAAGGTACAAACTTGGTAGAGTGACTGTTCTCTGCTTCAGCTGGCCAGGAATGCATCTGAGATCTAAAAAAAACAGAGAGGACAGGCAGCTCTTTAGAAGGACTTCCTGTGTCAATGCTGAAACAGGAGATGGACTGGCCATTTGGACAGGTAGATGAGTGTTAAGCTGTCTTGCTACATTTTCTCTGTCTATCTTGCTCTAACCCCATCCACCCACTCACCTAGCCCTTGCCTGTCAGCTAGGGAAACAATGTCATAAAACGGTGAAGACTGCCAACTTCACGTACATTGCCCAGATTTGCACCTCATGCTGATCAGGGCCTTCAATAATCTTTCTAGGCTTTGGTGTCTCCATCTGTGATGCTAGAAACTGCAACTCAGCATTACCATGTGAACAACATGAAGAAATTTATGTAATGTACTAACAGCACCTCGTGTGTAAAAAGTTGTTAAGGAAGTCTTGTGGATTACTATGTCCTTATACAGATGTGGCAGCATACTGTGGTCTCAGGTACACAGGAGGTTGAGGCAGCTGGATTACTTCTATCAAAGAGTTTGTAGACCAGGCTGGCTCACAGAGATCCACCCACCTCTGCCTCCCAAGTGCTGGAATTCAAGGTGTATGCCCTCAGTGGTCCTGAGATCCCATCTTAAAGCAGTTGGGTGTGGTGGTACATGCCTGTAATCCTAGCACTCACAGGAGGACTGCTGCAAATTTCAGGTCAGCTTGGGCTACATAGTTAGTTCCTGGCTACCTAGGGATTTAGAGTGAGCTGTGGGAGGGAATTTAGTCCTCAGTACTTTTGTTTTTATTTACCTTATTTTTTATGTTTTGGTTTTTTTTTTTTTTTAAGAGAAGGTTTCTCTCTGTAGCCTTGGCTGTCTTGGCACTCAGTCTGTGGACCAGGCTGGCCTTGAACTCAGAGATCCACCTGCCTCTGCTAGGATTAAGGTGGCACTGTCTGGCAGTCCTTAGTACTTTTAAAACCCAATTCCTAGTTCGAGTTTATCCCTTAGTCCTTAATTCTTTTAAATTGTGTGTGTGTGTGTGTGTGTGTGTGTGAGAGAGAGAGAGAGAGAGAGAGAGAGAGAGAGAGAGAGAGAGAGAGAGAGAGAGAGAGGTGAGGTGCAAGCACATGGTATTCCACAGCCCATGTGTGGAAGACAAAAGACAGCTTTTAGAGGCTGGTTCTCTCCTTCCAGTACAAGTTCTGGGGGTTGAATTTAGATCACCAGGTTAGCACAACAAGCAGAGTTCCTCACTGTGCAATATTGCCATATTGCCCTTTCATGTGGGAAGAATATATTTGGTTTATAAGATTCAATATTATGACATTAATCTTCCCAAAATTGATCTTTAGTTCAGTGCTATCTCTGACTAGCAGGTTTTTTAAAAAAATTTTTCTATTTTTATTTTTATTTTGGGACATGTTATCAAATTGCTTCAGACTTTGTAATGAAAACACGAAGGACCAAGAATGCTCTTCTGTGTTCTCTGCACACCGCAAGGATAGAGTGGTTCTGATGCTGGAGCTCTCTTAGCTTTGGTTTTAGGGAGAAGACTCTGTGGGAGCTGAGCCTGTTCGAATGCAGGGGAGCCCTAGCATTCTTGAGGCAATTCTCCAGCTGAAGGAAGGTAGAGAGCTGGGTTTGGGAGCTAGTAATAATGAACACAGGGTTGCTTTCTGGCTTTTTGCTGGATCTGCAGGCGTCATAACAAAAGTTTCCTCTGGGAATCCATACAGAAACAAATCTGTAATCAGAAGTTTCAAAATTTTAAAAATGTAAATTTTGTCTGGCAGTGGTGGCACATGCCTTTAATCCCAGCACTTGGGATTAAAGTGCTGCAGAGGCAGGCACATCTTTGTGAGTTCAAGGCCAGCTTGGATACAAAGCCAGTTTCAGGATAGCCAGGGCTACACAAAGAAACCCTGTCTCAGATAACAAAATATATAAATTTTAAAAAATGTAAGTGTGTGTTGGACATTAGTGAACAAGTACCGCAGTTCAAGGAACGTACAGTGCTGCGTGATGAAGGCAGTGTGGTGATCGATCCTAATTGCTGGCCTGGTTAGAATGAGACTAGCAAGGCACTCCCATGGGGGTATTTGTGAGGCTGCTCTCCGAAATGACTGGAACACAGAGCGCTGATGTAATGAATGCATCAATCCCTCCCCGGATTCATGATCTAATGCCATGACAGGGAGGCGAGGAAGTGTAGCCTAGCGGAGAGAAGCAGGCCACGGGAGGTGTGACTTTCTGTCTCTCTGCTTCATAGCCACCATGACCTGAACTGCTCTGCTCCACCCCACCTGCCCCTCCGAAACCATGAGCTCACCTCCTGTCGGGAATTCTCCAACGTATTTGTCTGACTAACACAGGGCAAGAAGGAGAGGAATGAGTGCTCAATTTTTGTTTTGATAGAAAATGTATTGTTTGCCCTTGATAAAAACTGGAGAATAACTTAATTTTTAAAAATGATATTATAAAGTTTAAGATAACATAAAAATAGTATGAAAACAAAAACATCATATAGTATGATATTTAACTTGAATATCCAGATGTAAGTTTTATGAAACAGGGCTGGGGTAGCTTAGGGGGAGAGCAAACATTTAACTGATACAGAGATATTTGTGTTCACCTACACTTAACATGCACAAAGCCTTGCATGGATCCTTAGAAAAGAGAAAAGGAGGAGGGGGAGGATAGGACGAGCGTGTAGAAGAGGAGTAGGAGGAAGGAAGGAAGCAAGTAAGGTTTTTGAAATAACTTATCCTTTTATAGCACATCCTGATTTGGGGCAACTGCCTTTTTTTTTTTTTTTTTTTTTTTTTTTTTTT